TATAAATATTTTAACAATTATATTTTCATCAATTTGATCTGCTTAGTCACTTTGTAAATTCTTCTATTTCTCTTTTTTTTTCATGGCAAAAAAAAAAGAACCAAGTCCTAGGTTTTGGATTGATATTTTCATTATTCTTAATTTTTGTTATTTCATAAAAAAGTTTCTATCTATGCTCAACGGGGATTACCCAATTTAAATAGTAATGAAAAGTTACATATATTATATATATAATAGAAAATATCATGTTAAATTTTCATTACTATTCAATTAAATAAATAATGTAAAATACTAAACAATACATTCATAAAAACATAGACTAAAAAGAAACCAATAAACATTTAGAAACAAAAACATTAAAAATGGTAGTTTGTAAAAAAAAATCAATATTAATTAATAGATAATTTTGAAGGTGACAAGACAAATACTTAGGTACTTTCTCTAAATAGATTATACTATTTACTCGAACACTATGAAAATTAAAAAATAAAAGATGTGATTTTCAATCACATATAATTAATATGATACTATTTTCAAAGTATTTTTGGAAAATTGTTTAAAAAATTAGAAAAATTACCACAATTTAGACATGTATCCTCCTCCATTTTTTTTTTCCTTTTATAGAATTTAACATTATAAGACAGAAGATTTGTTTAATCTTTATGCTACATTATTTATTTCTTTCATTATTAAAACCCAAATTATTATGTCAGGTCTTGGCAATATTGTCCACCTCCCTTATCTCCTTAACCAAGTTTATTTAATGCCAAAACGACAGCCACTTTGTACAAATTAAAAAATTAGAAAAAGAAAAGAAAAATCCACGATGCCTGTCCACCGTGGTGATGATGACGTGGATAGGTCTGGACCATGTCATACATGGGACCCACTCTGACAATCCAACTTTGTGTAAGAAATCCTGATATTACTTTTCTGACCCTCCTCTAGTTGGTGTGGGCAGGCACGACTAAAAAGCGTCGTCCCTTTGTCTTAAATATCTTTTTTTGAAACATTAAATATTTTATTTAGAGATCTCAATCATGATGATTGAATGTGCAAAATTAATAAACAAATAAAACATAGTGGGAAGTAATGTTAAAAAGAATATTAATTATTGATCAATCCAAAATTTCTCTCCTCTTTTTTTTTCCTACTTTCAATCTTATTTCATTTTGATACTATTTTTTTAGTTAATTTTGAATCTAGATTACTTATGTATTAATTAATTATATTTAAAGTTTTATAATGTAGCTAATACAAACATCTTCATATTCACCATGCATGTGCCTTAAAACACCAACCCACTTCAAATACAACATAAGACAATGATTAATTAAAGATCTAGACATCAAATCATAACATTTAAAAATACCAAATCAAAAATCGAGATGGACCAACCACAAGGTACAAAAAGAACAGCATTTAAACTTAGTATGTCCTACTTGGGATCTATATTCAAAATTACTAAAAAATATTAGTAGAAGCTTTATAGTTTAAGAGGAGCACCTAAATATTTCCACAGATCAAAATAATAAGAATTGAGCCTAATAATATTACTTGGTCACACGTCATCCTACTCTTATTGGTCAATTCTTATCCTAAATATTCTTTATAGCTGGCTGGACTCAAGGCTTTCCAATCGCATTAGGTAAATTGATAAATCAATGCCAAAAAATTACCCAAAATAATCGCAATGAAAATTGGAAGAATATGCAGAAAAATCCGAATTAACCAAAAGAAAAAGGAAAAAAAAATGGAAAACGCATTTGGAAAGGTACATACCATTGGGATCTGCAGACGCGTGGATTCCGGCCAATCAAATAGCAGCGAAAATGAACGACAACAGTAAAAGAAAAATATAATTAGTGATAATATTATAAATAAATAAATTGTAATCGAAGAAAAAGGGATCTGTCAAATTATTGGCCTTTTACTTTTCCAGCATTAGAAAAAATAAAAATCAACGTCAGATTTTTCTAAGGAGAAATTGAAATGTGTGGTGGGAAACGGAAGAACAATAATTGAATTTAGTTTAATTTACCGTTCATCCAATTTCCCTCTGGTTGAAAGTGGAAGGCAGTTCGTTGCCAAGAGAACATGTCGTTGGTCCAGTTGAAGGCTCCACCGGAAAAGTAAGGGTTCGATTTGGCGGAGACGCCTTCCGCGACGCCTCTGGCAAGGCGAAACGGCGGCGCAGGCGCCGGAGGGGTCCGATTGTTGATCAGTGCAACCAGAGAGACGAGGAGAAGGAGAGAGAGAATGGCGAAGAAGTTGAAGAGCCTTCGGCGCGGCGGCGGGGGGCTGGGGTGGTCCGGCAAGGCCGTGTACGGCGGCTGCTCGAGATCTGAAGTTTTCGCCATTGGAGGTTATTTTGGAAGATGGAAGGTTTAGGGATTTATAAGTGCAGGGGCAGGGCAGGAAGAAGAAACGACAGAGAGAGGGGGGACAGTAGGTTTGTGGATCACGTGTTTTGGTGCGTGCGTTGTGAGTATGAGATGGAAAAATAATGGCAAAGGACAGCGAGGCAAATATTTGTATGGTTTTGGGTTCTAATCAATTAATATTAGTTACTTTTCCAATCAAATCTGTTTCTCTTCTGCCTCTACCCATGCTCCTCATTATCAAGTTTCTGGTATTTTCTTTTCTTTTTTCTTTCTTTATTAATAAGTTTTGAATTAATTTGGTAATATTTATTCTGATATGATATATTTATTTCTGGCATAATTGAAATGGTTCTGCCACGACACTACACAAATGTGAAAGATAATTAGGATTAGTATAAGTATTTTTTTAGTAAAATAAATTGCAAGTACGAGAGTTTGAATCTCTATAGTAGGTGTTATTAGGGATGGCAACGGGGTCAGAGGGTCATCCTCATTTCTGCCCTATTAGAAATTTTTTTCTCGTCTCCGAATTTTTGGGGGTGGAGACGGGGCATATTCCGGGGTATAAGAAAATTAATAAGATATTAAACGGGACGGGAACGGGGACATCCCTGCTCTATCCTCGTTGAGGACTCCGTTTAGGATCCCCAGGTCCCAGGTCAAACCAGGGATTCTTCAACCCGACTGGATCGAGTATCTGTCAGGTTTTTATCTATACTTAGCTATGTTCATGTTAACTATTGGTACAAATATTTTATACGAGGGTATAATGGTAAATGAGATTACAACATGCTAAACGCAAATCCAAATTAAATCAAGGAGGACAATTACAATAACAACTTCTTCTGCCTTTACCCCTGCTACTGGTGTTTTGTTTTAGTTTGTTTTCTTTTTTATTAGTAAGATTCCAATGAATTTGGTAATATTTATACTGATATGATATATTTATTTTTGGCATAATTGAAACGGTTCTTCCATGATGCTACAGAAACGTGAAAGATAATTATGATTAGCACAAGTGTTTGTAGTTCTTTTAGTACAATAAATTGGGAGTATGTGAGTTTGAATCTCTGAAATTAAGAAAAAGATCAATAATTGTCATTTACATTTAGCTATGTTCATGTTAACGATTAGTAGATACATTTATATGAGGATATAATGATAAATGAGATTACAATACACTAGCGCAAATCCAAACTATATCGAGGACGACAATTACAATAACAACTTTTTCTGCCTTCACCCATGCTAGTCATGGTCAAAATTTCTATTCCTTTTTGTTTGTTTGCTTTCTTTTTTATTTTTTATTACTACTAATACGATATATTTATTTTGGTATAATTGAAAAGGTTATATCACCCAGCTACAGAAATGTGAAAGATAAATATGGTAAGTATAGTACAAGTATTTTTCGTTTTTTAATGCAACAAATTAAAAGTATGAGGGTTTGTATTTTCCATCTCAAAGAAAGAAGTATGTGTCAATTACTACTTAACTATGTTTAACCATTAGTATAAATGTTTTATACGAAGATATAATGACAAATGAGATTACAATAGGCTAACAACGCAAATCCAAATTAAATTGATGACGACGAATACAATAATAAGCTCTTTCGGGAGAGGGCACGGTGTTTTTAGAAGAGAAAAAAGACACGTCATATTTATAAATCATGGGAAAATTGCTCAACGACAGTGACAGACTTCGTGCCTTCTCCAACTTCCTTTTCTATTTATTTTTCTTCATTATGATTTGATGTGGGGTTAATCCAAGTTGGGGAGGAAGAGGTGCTTAACAAAAATATGGAAAACTAAGGCGAATATAGTTTAGTRGTAATTGGTACACATATTCAATTAAGATGTTGCGAGTTCGAATCCTTACCTTATATGTTGTACTTAAAAAATATATATATATATGGAAAAAATTCAAATAAGGGAAACAAAATTACATAAGTTGCAAAGGACTTGTTGTTCACGCTAGAATTCCAGAGAAATTATATAATTTGATTCTTCTCTCTTAAACTTGAAGCGGAGGTTGGGGTGCTTGTTCTCAGGCTTGGATCAAAGTCTTGTACACTTAAAATTTTTTTCAAGATTTTTAACTTTTCAAGTCTTTTCATTTTTGAAAGTTCGTTCACATAAAAATTCTTCAAGTCTTTGAATTCTTCAAAAAATTTCAGACAATCTAGTGATCTTCAATGTCTTTTCGATTTGTGTGCAGTCTCTTGTGAATTCTCTAACTTATAGACTTTATGGAAATTTTCCTCCCCACGAGGGAAGATTGACTCTCTATATAGAGTCTTTCGTGAACGTTACGTGGATTTGGACTCACCGACTAGGCTTGTGCTAACTTGAACCTTGCACTAACTTGAGCTTTGGGTTTGGGTTAATATTGGGCTTTGGACTCATCTAGTTGATTATTTAATGCATTTGAACTTTACTCGGGTTTGACCTAATTTCCTTTAGTAGATTTGAGTTTATTTATATTTTAGACTATGCATAGTCTGATTAGTCTATTTTATGGCATCATAAAAGACAAGTGGCTTTATTTGATTGGCCAATTTCATATATTTTAATTTAATTTGGAGACACATGAAGGTCCCAAATTGTAATTTTGTGATTAATTAAAGAAAATGATGTGGCAAGTTTTGATTGGCTAAAATTTATCACTATCACTTCAACACCATGGTCGAAATTGGAGGTACAGGAGTTTGAACCTTAAATCTTTAAGGGAAGAAGTAGGTGTCAATTATCACTTAGCCATGTTATTTTTTTTAGTACCTTAACTATGCTCATTTTAACGGTTAGTACAAGTGTTTTACGTGAGAATATAATAGTAAATACCAAGCATGTGAAAATTCAAACTAAATCGAGGATGACAACTACCATAACAACCATTTTCGGAAAGAAAAGAGACACGTCATATTTACAAATTATGGGGGAAATGCTCGACGGCTACAACGCAATGACAAACTTCCTGCCTTCTTCCCAACTTCCTTTTCTATTTATTTTTTCTTGATTATGATTTTGGTGTGGAGAGAGATGTGCTTAATAAAAGATGGAAAACAAAGCTTTAAATAAGGGAATTTTTTTTCTTCATAATTTGCAAAAAACATTTTCAGGATAAATTATAGGATAATATTTGCCTCCTTCCTTAGAACCACTAAATATTTTACAACTCATTATTTTTTTAAAATATTTTTGTTTTTACATTTCTCTCTCTTAATTGTCAAATATTTAATGTTGATAAGGACAAGTTTACTCTTTATTAGTGAGAAGTCAAATATTTTCCTTGTTCTCACACTTTGATCACTTCAAAATTCTTCAAGTTTTTTAAAATTTCAAGACTTTTGATTTTAATCCGAGTTTCTTCTATTTTTCGGAAGTCTCTTTTGAACTCTCTTACTTATAACGTTATGGAAATCTTACTCCCCACATATGAGGGTCGACCCCTCTATTTATAGAGTTTTCCATGGACTTTGTGTGGATATGGGCTCACCAATTGGGCTTGTGCCAACTTGAACTTTGGGCTTTGTTAACCTTGATTTTGAACCCATCTAGTTGATAATTTAATGCATTTTAACTTTATTTGGGTTTGACCTAATTTTCTTTAGTGAAGTTGAGCTTATTTATATTTTAGATCCAATCACCACGTGACATAGTCTGATTAGACTATTTTATGGTCTCGTAAAAGACAAGTGACTTTATTTGATTTTTCACTTTCATATCTTTTAATTTAATTTTGAGACATGTGTAAGATTCCAATTGTAATTTCGTGATTAATTTAAAGATAATGACATGAAAATTTGTGATTTGCCGAAATTACAAATAGTCAAAACCACTTGTTTTTTCTCGTTTTTTTGTGCTCTCCTTCTTTTCATTTTTTTCCCATCTAAACTATAAAATCTAGATTCATACTTTTTTTCATATTTGTTTATTTCCTCTTACGAGATTAGTGTCTCATCTACGATTTCAGTGACTTTCCGACTCGACTCACATCCATACTCACGAGTCACCTGTTTGAGTGATGTGAACAATTTATGACACTTTCTAGTGTAACTCACCTCCTGTACTTTTGTTGTCTATAGACTATGCTACCAATTCTTATATGTGCAAGTATACACAATCGTCGCAGCAAGTAATAAAAAGTTCGAATCCATAGAGACTAAATGCCCAATAGGAGTTCTCGGCCTCTTCTCAACTACTGATATGAGTCTTCTTCTCCTATTGACTTTCTCTAATGGTTGAAGAAGTTTTCTTGGAGTAAGGGTTGATTTTTTCAAGAATGAACAAGAGAATTGTCTTGGTGTGTGTGTGGAGGCTCCTCCTCTTGTTTGCATTTATACCCCCTTCCGATATTAAGGCAACAAAACAAGCTCTGTGGGACCTAACTTTCACTCTTAGGTGAAACCTCCAATTATTGTGGTAAATGCCGTTGAGGAGTCTTTTCATTGCTAGCTTTTTGTCTCTTTCTGGAACCGATATTGTAGCATCATCAAAACTGCAGCAAAATGCTCAAAATCATATCATTTAAACGAGCGCTAACATTAAACTCTTAGCCATATGAGAACATTGATTTATCTTCTAAAATAGGCACACCCATTGAATACTTGGGGCTGGATAAGGCTATCTTTAGCTATTTTATGCAACTTAGGCACAATTAAGTCTCTTTAGGAGAGTTATCAACTTTTCGGCACAATTGATCTACTCCTCTGAGTGACGAAAATAGTTTATGACACTATTTGACATGACTAACCCTCTTTGAGCGACGACACAAATAGTTTATGAGAGATATATTAAATGAACGCAAGTGTATCCACACCCCCAAACTGACTTGACGAGGAATCCATTCTCGCATTTTCTTGCTCGTTAACGCCCCCTTACCCCTAAACTAAATGGTTTCTCGTACTTGCTTAGTGTGCCCCCTTTGGTCGAGTAGTGACACCCACCACTTTTCACCGGTTAGAGAGGCCCCTTTACTCCGACAAAATCTAGGGTTCTTTGAACAATGTGATACGACTTAGCTCTTTCCCCTTTAATTCATTCAACATTTTCTTTGGGATTTATTATTAACCCAACCAGAGAGAGAGAGGAGGCATTTGCTTT